CCTATATTTTTAGCCAATGCACAAGGAATAATAAATATAACTCCTAAGAATAATGTCACGACGTAAACTGGCTGTCTACCAATTTCTTCTGAAACAGGTGCAAATACACATGGTCCAAATCCAAAACCAAGAACAAACATGGTAACCGAAGCTAAAATAACAACTTCTTCACTAACCTGAAAGTATTCTACTGGGCCACCAATATCACCTGTGACAATAGCAGAACCTAAAGCAACAACGAAACAAATTGAACCTAAAACTGCTGTGTAAATCCATTTCATAGTTTTTGTTTTGTTCATTGGGTTTTTCTCATCACCGGGCACAAATGTCACTAATCTTATGCCAGTTTCTTGGTCAACAGGATATTTCCATGGATCCTGCTCATTGAGAGTGGAGTTAGGATCTGGGTGGGTCTCTATTTTTTTTATATCGTAAGGCTCTTCTAAATCACCTAATTTACCTGCACCTTCTTCTAATTCTGTGACAATTCTTTCCACACCTCTGTTATTAGTAATTAACCTTTCCAAGCTTTCCTTGTCTTCGCTTCTACTGTTACTTCTGCTTCTGAGTGAGTTTGGTTTTGCATCATCACCTTCATATCTATTCACTTTGTCGCTATTGATACTCGCATCATCAATAGTAGTTGAACTATTATCTTGAAATTCTGAACTTGTCATTCTGATTATATTCACTTATCAATATCATATTCAATTACCCTTAAATGGTTAAATCGTAGTCAATTTATACTTATGGAACGATTTCTTTTTTCTCTCTATGAATTAAATTTTATTGCCGATACCGATCTACCGGTGGGAGATTATTATCTAAGCAAATAAGTTTTTCGACGTGACACCATAAAGTATGTGTTTGTTTCTCCCCAGCTGGAGCGGTTAGGGTGTCTAGAATGTATTATCTGGAAGTTTCTTGATCATGTCAAGTAGTACTAGTAACAATGGTTCAATCATGAAGAATATTTGTTTTGCTTGAAAAATTTACTATGTTATTCTGTGAACTTAGAAATGATAGGGATTGTCGGCAATTGTAAACCGAATAATATACAATTAATCAGATGTAAATAAAAACTGTACGCCATATGTGTTGTGGGTATTGTAAATTAAGCGGCATAAAGCGTCGCTATAGCCGTTCCAAAATCTTAGCATCGGAAGTCGGCTTTATGCGGGATTTGTCGCACGGCTGGAGAACGAAATTAGAATGCGAATGCGCTTCACGCATATACTCAATCAAGCTTAAATTGTATTTATTAAGACTAACCTTCGGGAGAGGGGGAATAATCATTTAATTTGATTGCTTGAGAAGGTAATATACTAGAAATACAAAGCTTCTACACGCAGGGAATAATTGATCCTTGATACGGTTAGGACACAAAATAAATGATATTATGGATCTCAGTCATGCAGGTTTGAATGCCTGCGATACTCTAAAAGTATTTGATTTTGTTGGCTAAATGTAAAGATCATCCTGGATCATTTTGCTACAAAGACATTGAAATCCATTTCAGATACTCTAGAATATTCAAATCTATAAACTATACAAACTAATATGAATATCTAAAATTTCTGTTTTGGATATCCGTTAAATCCAAAAATTGGTAATTATCTTGCAATTTCTCTTGTGGCTCGTTATCCCTCTTCTCGTTTTCCTTTTTCGATAAATATCCAACCAAGAGAGCCAAGGGGATAGAAGCAACCTGTGTGACTAGAATAGCGATTTTGGCGGGTACATAGCCCGGGAAATCTTTTGCCTGAAACATTTGGGGCCCAAGAAGAGATGATAAACTAAAGACAATCATTGTCAATGCATTTCTAAACATCCTTTTGGTGTATCCCGCCGTGTTTGCACTATTCCATGCATAGATCAAAGTAATTGAAGAAGATCCACTGTACAACAAATAAAGAGCTAGCAAATTCCCAATTTGTTGTGTTACAATGCTCGTAGACAAAAGGACAATAGCCCCGATAATTGAGGGTATAAACATTGAAACAGTAATATAGGTTCTATGTCCATAGCGAGAAACAAGTTGTGTTGATATCACAATAATAATAATAATAATGGCTCCTAATGGAATTTGGAGTAAAGCTGTCTTATAGCCATCGAAACCAAATGTTCCAATAACCGTAGCACTATAAGTCCCTATGGCACCTGTAACAATCTGCGAGGTTCCCGTAAGAAGTAGCATTGGCCAAGTCAACTTATCTTTAAATACTAGTTCATAAAATTGTTCTCTTTTGAACTTCTTATTTTCTGTACCGGTTTGATTCTCTCTGATATGTTCCAAAACCAACACTTTTTCATTATTATTCAAAAACTTTGCACTAACAACATTATCCGGTAAATAGAACCACACAAAAATTCCAAATAATATAGTAATTAAGCCCACTACTAAGAATAATATCTGCCACGATTGAAATTCAGTAGTATGAATGTGTTGAAAGCCAAATGACAATAAGGCACCCACTATAGTTGCAGTACCTGAGTTAATACTCCAAATGCCCATTCTGGCCACTTGTTCCGACTTGGTGTAATACATCCCACTAATGGCTATAATTCCAACAGCAGAGCTGCTTTCAAATATACCTAACAATGTTCTCACAATCATTAATGAAGCGTATGTCTTGCAAGCAGCATGGCATGTCAAAACAATACCCCATAAAACAATGCAAATACTAAAGGCTCTAGAAATTGGAAATTTCTGTAAGCAATACGAAACGAACGGTTCGGCAAAGATATAAGACGCATAGAATATCGTACTTAAATTTGAGAATTCGTTTCCAACTAAATTCTCCTTAATACCCATAGCAGCCGAATAATTTAACAAAGTCTTATCTAAGAATTGTAAGAAATAGATTGCACATAGCAATGTCAATATCCTAAGATCAATTTTGCGTAATAGCTTTGGGGGTAATTCGGTATTTTCAATATAATCTTTCTCTTCCCTTTTCAAGAATTTGAAAGCAACATCGTAGTTACTAGTGTCCGATGTGTCAACGTCATGTAACTCTTCATCGATCTCATGATCTTTTTCAATATCACTCATTATATGAACTTTTCAATTTCAATATCCTATTGATCATCTGAAAAAGGGAAACCATACCTTATATATGCTTATATCAATTTCTTTTACTATTAGATTCCTCAAATTAAGAACCAGAACTATAAGCGCATATTCGAAATTTTTTACTTAATTTCGCAGCTTCCAATATTATTGCATGGATGTGATACTGCCGTATCTAAGTATGTAATTCAAAGTAGTTTACAAGTACAAATACATAAAGCTTGTAATGCTGCTCTATTATTGTTCAGAAGAGATGATTACGAAAGTTTTTAGTACAGAATTTCAAAATAGTACAGTTTCTAGCATCATTGAATTCCGCCATTAACCTTTGTTGAAATTTTTCAATAATTTCAAAATTGTATCTTTCAATAGTATGGATGTTTATAATATGTACCAATACACTTTAATGCGTTTGTTACTTTCGTTATTATTTTCTGGAAACTGTAAGTTATTATCGGATATATGATTACGCAATGCAGCGTTCTCGATCGCACACAAATTAAGGAACTGAAAAACTATCGGTTCATATTTTGAACATATCATTTGAAAACAAGGATAAAAAATGTCAGACATTTACAAGTATAGCTTAGAGGAATTAGACCAGTTGGAAGGTGATGAAATAAGATTGGAGAAATTTGATAGCACTGTATGCTGGAAATTGGGCTCAATTGCAAGAGACTTATCTCTTGAAAGATATCCTAAGAAGGCAGTTGTCATTGACATTTCATTGTCTTCTGGGCAAGTATTATTCCATTCGGTTACTAATGATGGTACTGCATTAGATAATGATCAATGGATTGCAAGAAAAAAGAGAACAGTATTGAGGTTTGGTAAATCAAGTTTCTATATTGGTCAAAAGCTTAGAATCAAGGAGCTTCCCATGGAAGAAGCACTTTTTGTTTCACCAATTGATTATGCCAGCCATGGGGGCAGTGTCCCAATCAGAGTTAAGGGTGTTGATGGAGTTATAGGTACATTAACAATCAGTGGCTTGGCCCAAGAAGAAGATCATTTGTTGGCAATCGAAGTATTAACTAAGGTATCCAAGAATTGATGTATTCAATACTGGTGAATTTTTTTATAATTTCTCTCTTGGGTATTACCTGGAGTTGCGAGTATTATATTATGTGAGCTATCAACTTAATTGATTGGTTTAATGCTGGATATTTTACACTTCTGCACCGAAATTCCATGGTAATTAATTTTAGTAGTAATAAATATCATTAACTACACCAATAGAAAAATATATACGCAATATATTGGATCTTTTACATACGTATTACTAACCAGGCAACTATTTATATCCATACTCGGACCAGCTTTTCAAGACCTTTTCTTTAATGGACTCATCATAGCCATCAAAATCACAAGTAATGAAGTTAACACCTTCAGGCTTGTATTGGTTGGGAAACAAACAATCTGTTACACAATTTCCTCCCTTTAAGGTTTTAATTCGTGGTCCTTGACTGATGAATGGTGCCAATGGGAAAGAGCGAGAGTCTTCAAACATATATTGGTCATCTCCGGGTGTATGTCTCGTCGCATAAGCCCAGAATAATTTTCTAAAATCGAATATGTCAATATCGTCTCCAACTAGGATTATTTCATGAATAATGAAACATGGTTTTGAATTATAATAGTATTCACCAACAAGCTTACAAAATTCTTCACTATTGGTGTTCAATTTAACAAGCTCTGTGGTATTCACTTTAAGAGCTAACCAAAGCGCCACACCCTCATATGGAGTAAATGCTTCCATAATAACATTTTTTAATTTAGGGTGCTCCAAAGCCATCTGTTTGCATTCAGCACTAACTAAGCCACCAATTAATGTATGTGTTTCGTCTGTGCATAAACCTGGATTTGAAACTGGCAATATAGCATTATCTCTATATGTTATGGTTTCAACGGCGTACAATGGACAAGGGTGTCCATGTCCAGGGAAACAATATCCATGCATTTCTCCAAATGGACCTTCTTCAACCATCTTGTTTAAATTCAAGGTACCTTCGAAAACCATTTCAGAATCAGCAGGCACTTGCAAATCATTGGTTTCACACTTAACTACGCTTAACGATTCGCCAACTAATGCACCTATGTAATCAGCTTCTGTAGCATCTTCTGGAATGGGCATTGAGCTAACTAGAATAGACGCAGGTGGCACACCAAAACATAATGCAAATGGAATTCTATCACCCTTACCAATTTCAGCCCATTTATCAGCAACCTTTCTAATATGTTGCGGATTAATTACCAATCCTGTTATGTGCTTGTCATCATGAATCATTCCTCTGGCGATTGACCAATTTGTCCAGCTCTTGTCAGGTGTTTGTAACACAAACATTCCGTAGGTCTGAATATACTTACCTCCATCCCCATGGTGTAATGTAGGTGCAGGTAATGCGTTTAACCTAATCCTATCACCAGAAATCTTGTTCATTTTACAGGGAGCTGCCGAAGCATCTTCTAACAAAATGGGTGGAATTGGTTTCTTGGTTTTGGCTTCTATCAAGTAGTCAATAATCTTGTTCATAGGAGTCTGTGAATCCAACCCTAAATGATGAGCAATTCTAGCATGATCATTACCTTTTTTTGCATCTCTTAAACCACCAAGACAGCCTGCAATGTCGAACAAATTGTTAGGATCTGGGTTTTTAATGTCCTTCTTCAAGTTTTTAAATAATGGCACTGGTAGCTTTTCTTCGTAAACTCTTCTCATGATAGCACCTACCTCCAAGTTTGGGTCGCACTCAGTGGTTATCTCTATTAAATCATTCTCATTTTTGAGAACTTGAAGGAAATCTCTAAATCTTAATTCAGGTCTTAAGTCGCTCATATTGATTTTAAAGTAAACTTCTTTGAATGAAACTCTTGGGCAAATGTAAATAAGAAACGAAATTTGATCTATTTATGTTGCTACCATTTGAGGTATTAAAGATTTAGTTCGACGTAAATGCGCAAATAGGTAGTCGTAAAGGCCGATCATTACCGATATTCTCACAAAATCGCGCAACATTGAATCAACAGTGCTTAGTATATCATCAATTAAATCAATTATATAAGTCCCGATCAACGGGTATGATAGCACGGTATATGGTTTGAGTTGTAATCAAATGTAGCCGAAATTGGAATATGAACTAGACTTTCGAGTCTCTAAATTCGATGTTTTGATAGCTGCATGGGTGCAACAAAATCGCGCATAAAAATCTCGGTGAGAGCCTAATCCAACGGTTTTTGATCTGCCTTATATATAAAGGATATAGTTTCGCTAAATCGAATGCAAAATATTTTTTCATTCATTTAGCTAACAAATATTATGCTGAATCGTGTTATAAAAGCATTTACAAACATGCTGTATAGAATAGAAGGTCCTAGATCATTGATAGCATCTATTTATACAGGTTCAAAGTTGCCGAAAGTAATTCGGCCCTTATCAACGTCATCTACTATTAGAAATAAAAATCTAATCAGGGATTATGAACAGGTCTCCAATGTAATATACCAGAATCAGGATATTGGATTTTATTCTACAAGACCAAAGAGAATAGTTGTGGCAATAACTGGGGCTACAGGGATTGCAATCGGAGTAAGAGTGTTGGAATTACTAAAACAATGTAATATTGAAACGCACCTAGTTATATCCAAGTGGGGTATGGCTACAATGAAATATGAAACAGATTATAATATGGAAGATGTAATGGCGCTTGCTTCAAAAGTGTACACGGCTAGAGATGTGAGTGCACCAATATCGTCGGGGTCTTTCCAGCACGACGGAATGATTGTAGTGCCGTGTTCGATGAAGACATTGGCTGGAATCAGGATGGGATTTACAGAAGACCTTATTGTGAGAGCTGCTGACGTTACCTTAAAGGAAAGAAGGAAATTATTACTAGTTACAAGAGAAACACCGTTATCTGATATACATTTGGATAATATGTTATATTTATCAAGAATGGGGACAATTATCTTTCCCCCAGTACCTGCATTTTATACAAAACCTAGAACTGTGGAAGATATTATAGAGCAGAGTAGTGGAAGAATATTAGATTGTTTTGGGATTGATACAAATAGCTTCCCACGTTGGGAAGGTGTTAAAAATACTAAAACACTTAAATAGCATTAAATATCGCCTTACGTTCATTTAACAGATTTACCAAAGTAAAAAGATTTGACCCCAGTAATTGAATATTAATAGTAGTATAAAAAGCAGGTTTATAAACGAGCAATATTAGCAAAAAAAAGTTCTATTTTTATACAGCTTGAAACATATCATACATAAATATAAACGAATACCATCAGCATTACATCACTAAATTACAATTCATAGATTCAATCAGATCCTCCAATACCAGCTATATATGCCAAAGACCAAGTTCTCGACATACCATTATCTATCAACGTATTATCCCAATCTTTTCTTGAAAACCATTTCCATGATTGCTTAGGATTAGTAAGAGAAAAATTCAACATTAATATGCCTTTCCAGCCATCAGTGATTTGGTCTATAATTCCTGCCAATTTCTGGTCCCATTCCTCTTGAACAAAGTCCCCATTTCTAATATAGGATGAGACCGGCGTGATTGGTAGCATATGGATTCCATGAATCCATTCATCTGCAATTTGGCCTCTACCAAAGTAAGTTGCAAAATCAATCTTATTTTCAAAAGAAATACCCGCAACTTTATTTTTAATAAATCTCTTAGGTTGAATTTTGTTATCATCAGAATATAACATGTACATATTCATTGATCTCTTCATAATTGCTAACATTAAGTTTGCTCGAACTTCCATATTCGAATCCTTAATAATCTTAGCAAAAAGTTTCATACCATATGCGAAATGATAATCTTCTGATGAAGACTCTTCATCTTTTCCATCGCCCGAAGCAAATATACCATGCGCAAAAGAATGTCCATGATACCAGTCAAATGACCTTGACTGAGGGAAGTACTTGTCATCTTTAGAGGGATTGGCAACGTCCCTAAGTAATGTCAATGCATAGTTAAGCACTAAATTATCATTTTTATGGAGCCATTCATTCTTTCCGAAAGATTCATCAACCTTCGCTACGAGAGCAATAGCATGAATATGATACCCATAATGGAAATGATGGTCATTGTAATTTGAGTTTCCAAAATCGGCGCCCGGTTCTGCGGAAGATATTAATCCTTTCCAGGACAAATCATAGACTAATGGGAACTTCTGATGATTGCGAGCAAATATTTCAATTGCTTCCTGTACTTTGGGAAGGATAGTGGAGGTTAATTTATCATCTTGCAATATAAAATGGCAAACATACGCAATGTATGCAAATTTGTCTAAAATCTTTCCCGATGTATACATAGAATCTATATTCGCCATACCGACAACATCTTGTTGAACTTCATCTTCAGCAGCGGTCCTTATTATATTCTTCGCCCCCTCTGAATATGAAGGTTTGCCTTTAAAAGAGCTAAGAGAAGACCATGGTTCCCAATTAACAGCTACTGGTAAATCTGTTTCTTCCATAATCAATTCATTAGTGGCATATGCCTTCATCAAACCTTTGGTTGTTGAATCTAATTCCAATTTCGTATCTCTTTTCTTTATTTCGTTAGTTAACACTTCTTGATGATGCGGAAGACACCAAACAATACCATTTCCTGACTTGGAACTACCCTTCATTCCATAGATAAATTTGTATTGGCAGATTTTGCCATCTCCTGAAGTGCATGATCCCTGAAGATGACAAGAGTCGGCGTAGATACCACAGCTATCATCATAAAATTTTGATTCACCACGACAAATCTGAATTATAGAATTACTGGAAACTTTATCGGCAACTATATGATTAGGATCTTGCAAATTTAGCTTTATGCTAGTATCGCCAGAAACGTATAATGACCAAACAACTTGATTAAACAAAGTCACTTTGTATTTAGTAACGTTACCAACCAGACCTACGTGCTTAAAGTCTTGAACACCAACTTGCGAAGCGATCACAGGCTGTATGTTGTTATAAATAGCAGTAATGAATCCCATTCCATGGACAAGTGGAACAGTGACGTTTTTGTTAGCATCATTATCCAAGACAAGTTTAGATGTAACTGATAATTTGTTGTGATTTTCTAATTTTACGCTAACATTGTTATCCCTGAAGTTAGCCCCAGATAGAACAAAAGATTTAATCTTGGGTGGATTAAAATAAAATTGAGCCGGGTTGGAATCTGGGTCTGGCCCGAATACTCTTTGCGACGCATCAGTGTGGTTGAAAGCAAACCCCACGTCTTGATCAGGATCCATGGTATACCAAAGAGAATATGGTAATGTCCATACTGGAAATGTTTGGTCCCCTAATGTTAAGTTATTTGAAAAGTTATTAGTTTGGACTGGATCATCCGATTCTCCACATGAACAACCTTGAGGTGGTTGAGCATGTTGAGTTCTCTTGAAAATTGATGGAGGTTCCGAAGTAGCAATAGGTTTAGCGAATATATCGTTATCAGCTGCAAGTGGTACTTGTGCGTTGTCATGACTAGGTTGGTATGCTTTCTCTTGGTTAGGATACGATTGCTGAGCTTTGTCGGCACTTCTACCTCCTCCTTTAGCTCTATTTTTTTCCTTCAAGGATTGGTCAATCTTTTTAATTGCATTCTTCAAGTCTGAAAATCCCATTTTTATTGAATAAAGATAGCAATTGCTTGGATATGAGAAGAAAAAAGTGTATTTTAATATATGACTTTACGTGTAAGGTTTGAAATTATGATTCGACTTATATACCGGTATGGACTTATTGTTTCTTAATTCACTTGAATATGACATTTATATGTGTTGATCTTACGCGCTGCCAACTTTGCAATAGAGTCGAATTGAATCTTCTTTCTATTAGCGTTTCTCCTTCAAGGGAATGTGTCTCTGCAACTATGAACTATTCCGAATTTGATGAGTTTAG